CTACTATTCAGCAAGTGGTCAATGGCCTTGATGTCCACCTGGAAAGAAATATTCCGGACGATGCCCATTCCCAATTACACAGTAAGCTCCTATATATTACTCCCTCCATTTCAATTTATGTGACACATTTCGCTTTTTGAGAGTCAAATAATTTAAGTTTGACCAAGAATTTGCTCATGGAATCTTCAATTTTTTTAAAATGAAATTTATATATTTGTAAACTACATAAAAAGTACTCTAAGTCTCAATAATTGATAATTCAAAATATTTAGAAGATATATGAAGAATTTACTGTCAAAGATAAACTTGTTTGAATCTCGAAATTTGAAATGTGTCACATAAATTGGGATAGAGGGAGTAACAATTATTTTCATGATATTGTCATGGAGCTAGATAAATTTATTTATGCTACGATTAAATTTGATGAACTTGTAGTGTCTAATTACGTGTATTTTGACATTAATAAACACAGTGTTGGGCCATGTTCAAGAGCCATCGGAGCGGACCTTTTAAACAATCCAGATTTAGTAGCCACAGACCCAGTCATCTCATTCAAGACATCTCTCTTATTCTGGATGACCACTCAATCACCAAAACCTTCTTGCCACGATGTCATCATTGGAAGGTGGAACCCATCGGCCGGTGACCGAGCAGCCAATCGTCTTCCTGGATTTGGTGTCATCGCAAACATCATCAATGGTGGCTTAGAATGTGGTCGTGGTAATGACAACACGGTACAAGATCGAATTGGGTTTTACAGGAGGTATTGCGAAATTCTTGGAATTAGTCCTGGTGACAATCTTGATTGCAGCAACCAGAGGCCTTTTGGCAGCTGATTCTATGTAACAACTTCATTATATGTTTTGTTGTATTCTCGCACAATGCAAGGATCAACTATAAAATAAAGTTTTAATAATATGATTGTAGTCTGATTAGTACCACGACTATATATAGTCGCGTTCAATAATAAATAAAGACTTTTATCCAAGATGCATATATCTCAATGAAGTCGCCATCAACCTCGGATTTTTCCACAAGCATTACTCTTTCCCTTCAAAATTCAAATCAATGTGCACGTAGTTATAATTCATATGGTAACGGTCTTATAATTACTTGTACAACTTCAAAAACCAAATCAATGCTAGCTATACTAACTTGTGATGGTGGGGGTTTTGCACGACCCCTTCATGTATACTACATCATAGCAGAAAAGATGATATAAACCTTAGCCTCCAAGAAAGCTCCTCTTTAATGTTAGCTAGTTTATCAGTGACAAAGCTAGCTTCTCTATAGCAGTGATTAACATGAATATGTCCTTGCCTCATTAAAAGTCTAATGTGGAGAATTAGCTTTTTGTGGTAGGCCTGAATATTATTACTACACTCTAATACTCCCTCTATTCTAGATTAACTGAATTTTTGAGACTTTTTTTGTCACGACTCAAAAATGGATGTGATGGCACTCGTCTTATCCCACCAAGACAAGTCAGCCTAAACCTCAACTATTACAATAAAATGCAGAAACTTTATAATCAACTCAAAAATACCCCAAAATCTGGTTGTCACGTGTACAAGCCTCTAAAGTATTACAATTGATTCAAAAGAAAAACATAAGTCTCAAATGACCTTGTTTCTATAATAGAACAAGATCATAAATAGGAATAAGAAAGTCCGCCGAAATGATAAGCAGCTACCTCACAAACCTCCACAAGAAGCCTCAGACAAGAAGAAGAGAAAATATCACAAAGGTTCGGGCTAGTAACCTACAAAAATTGTAGAAGCAAGGGGTGAGTACCAAACCACACGGTACTCAACAAGTAAACCTCTAAACACAAGCTAAGGGGATATAATACGGGTACTCCTTACACCCCAACCGAACCTCCACAACTACAACCTGCATAAAAATCAGCTCAACCTACAATTCACAATTTACAAAGCACACAACTCAACAACAACACTCTAACAATTACATTTCCTCAACAACAAGCTTATTATTCATCAATCTCAACTTCCACAAAAAGGCACTCACAATATCAGCAACACACAAGATCAAGTTCATCAATGATAAAAATGTGCAATACAATGAAATGCAATGTCAAGTATAGTGATGCATGTCTGACCTAATGATACACACCCGCTGTCTCTCAGTCCAGGACCCATGGGGACATATCTGTCCATGCATCCATCGCGGCGAGCGATACGACCCTCGATAATGGTAACCATCGCGGCGCGCGATATGTCCTTCGAAATATAGTATCCATCGCAACGCGCGATACGTCCCTCAAAATGGTGCATCCTCTTTAATTTCTTATTTTTTTCTCAATTCACATAACACTTGTCACAGCCATGTCTCAGAACAATGCAAATGACATGTTCACACAAATAATTAAGAGATGACCATTTTCATAACATTGCACAATTCACAACAACACAATCATGATACAACATCAACAATGATTCAATAAGCCTTTCAAACCATTCTCAACACATCACACACAAACAATTAATCACATTGCCCTTTATTACCCCTTTTTCATCATTAAAATTAATCAATGTAGACAAGGCAACCCATCACCAAGTCTCGTTACCCCCAAACACATATCACAAAGAAATACACGAATTCCATACACTTAACAAGGGTTTAGAAATCCACTTGCCTCAAATGGTCGAACAATCACTCCCAGACTTGAGTCTTTCCTTTTGTTGAACTTCCAAATCAATATAATCTATTCCAAATAAATAATCACAATAAGATTTCAAAATAACAACACTCATATTACTATTGTGTCTAGTCTAGACCCAAAAACTCGCCCAAGTTTACAGTCAATTTCCTAAACTTCCAGCCTAGGATTCAATCTTAATTTCCTCCAATATCATAATTTAATGGTGTTCATAGGTATATAATACACCTAATATTGATAATCATATTAAGAAAAATCCCTAATTAGAATCAATACCCTATCTGTAACTTTCACATGGAAAGAACAGAGAAACCGAGAGTGACAACACAACAAAATTCCACCCCACAGTGCTTCGATTTCCAATTACCATCAATTTTCTTACTTGTTTTGGTCAATGGTTAATCCTAATTATACTCCAATGATTGGCTGCATGCAATTATCTAATGACTATCCTAATTGGGCAACGACAACCCACTAGCAAGCTTGATCAACATCTGCCAAACACAAGAACAATAATTTCTCTAAAGATTTAAAGTTGCTATTGCCTTAAAATTGGAATCATTGGTCATTAAGAAAATTCATAACAATTATTTAAAAAAAACTCACGTTGAATCAGCAAAAATTGTTCAACCCAATTTCTTTCTGCTCTATCTAGCATTAATGATATCAATGTATTCCCCCTAATCTTCTAACATTTATAATTTATTATATTTGATAGGAAAGCTTTGTACCTATTGGCGGTCGTTGGACGCTGCTCCAAATATTTCCGTCGACTTTTCCTTTCCTCTCATGTACGTCTGCTTAGGTTAGTTTCTGACTCCTTTTCTTTTCTTAAATTATGACCCAAAAATTCTCAACCCTAATAATTTATTTTCATATATGGGTCAAGTGGTATATGATATTAATTAAATTATAAACTTGACCCATTAAGCATTAACTAAAATTAGTTATTTAATAAATAACCGTCAATAAATTAACTATGGTTATACGAATATTCAAAATTTTCAAAAATGACCTTCTGGGTCATCACATTTTGGAAAAATTACTTAAATACACAACACTTCTTTACCTATTCTCAATATTTCCCTACTCTTTTACTAAAATACAAAAATCCCTTATTTTTCCCCAATTCAACTTAACCGGATACTTTATTAGTTAAAGTATCCGCCCGTTATTAATTAAAGTATATGCGCTGCTATATTATGCATCCGCCTGTTAATTAAGTATTCATGTTGCTAACAACTTAATAATTTAAGTATCCTCCCATTATTAATTAAAGTATCCGCGCTGCTATATTATGCATCCGCCCGTTAATTAAGTATCCGTGTTGCTAATAACTTAATAATTTAAGTATCCGCCCGTTATTAATTAAAGTATCCGCGCTGCTATATTAAGTATCCACACTGCTATATTATGTATCTGAAAAATACTAAAAAAAGGGATTTTTGGTAATTAATGAAAGAGTAGGGAAATGAAGTAATTTCTTTCTTATACTATGTCATTTGCCTAATTTTTACTTACATTTTTCATAGTTCAAAATAATTGAATTGTTCAAAGTTCAAGAAGGATGTTTGAAACTTTTTTCATATTAATTATTTTGAAGAAAATCGAAGGACGTTTTCTTCTCTGTCTCACAGCTTATGTTTGTGGGGAAAGGAAAGGAGTTAGTGATAGAGGACAAACTCAAAGGAATTTGAAGCTCAAAGTTATAGCTCCAACTGGAACAACTCACAATTTCACAATATATATATATATATTGTATCAATTGTATTCGTGATATAATGAATACAACATGTATTCATCCTCTCTCCTCTCTCTCTCTCTCACCTCTCTCCTCCTAATATGTAGCTAAATACAATAATTTTTTATACAATTATATTAATCATCTTGATACAAATCAGTTGTATCAATTGTATTCATGATACAACGAATACAACAAGTATTCAACCTCTCTCGCCTAGTCTCGCTCACCTCTCTCCTCCCCAAACATGTAGCTATAATTTATAATTAAGCAAACTATAGTTATAGATCTCGAATTAAGTCTAAACTATAGTCATTTTTGAAAGTTCTCTATATTTTTAATAAAATGATTTATGGCTGTGAAAATATTAAAAACATAAAAGCCGCCACTAAATATTGATTTACCTTTCAGCGTGCTCTACGGGCTTAAATTATGGACAAGACAGAGGACCATCGTTTTTGTCACTATAAGTCACTGATCCCTCAGAACCACTCATAGAGAATTCAGCCATCTCACTTCTTGCCTATAAATTCCTTTAACTTTGCCACTTTCTTTCCTATCACATTTTACTACATTAAAATGAGAACTCCTATATTCACTACTCTTTCTTTACTATTTTCTCTCCTTTTGCTGATTGCCTCGGCGGAGCAATGTGGTTCACAGGCCGGAGGCGCAATTTGTGCCTCAGGACTCTGTTGCAGCAAATTTGGCTGGTGTGGTAACACTGATACCTATTGTGGTCCTGGCAATTGCCAGAGCCAGTGTCCTTCTGGCCCCTCTCCGAAACTACCTACCACTGATCCTGGTCCTCTTGGGGACCAGCTCGGCAGTATCATCTCAAATTCCATGTTTGATCAGATGCTTAAGCATCGCAACGATAATATCTGCAAAGGAAAGAATAATTTCTACAGTTACAATGCCTTTATCACTGCCGCCAGGTCTTATCCTGGCTTTGGCACCACAGGTGATATCACTACCCGTAAAAGGGAAATTGCTGCTTTCTTTGCCCAAACTTCCCATGAAACTACTGGTATGTACATCAATTTAAATTTAAATTTGATGAATTCAACTTTTAGTTATGTGAATCTAAAAAGATACAATTGATTATGTACCCGTTGATGGATAGGAGGATGGCCTATGGCACCAGATGGACCATACGCATGGGGTTACTGCTTCCTTAGAGAACAAGGTAGCCGGGGCGATTACTGTATACAAAGTAGTGAATGGCCTTGTGCTCCTGGCAAGAAATATTTCGGACGAGGCCCCATCCAACTTACAAGGTAATCTTCTGGTTTTATCGGTTAACGATTAATCATACGGAGGTATCCTAATTTTTAACTAATCAAACAAAAAGAGAATTATAATTCGTATGTTTTAATATGTAGGGTGTATTTGGTACAAAGAAAAATGTTTTCCTAGAAAATGTTTTCCTGGAAAACAAATAGATTTTTTACTTATTTTATCATGTTTGATTGGTGAGTAGCAAATATTTTTCAGAAAAGATTTTTAGTGTTTGATTTATGAATAAAAATATGTTTGAGAAATACCTTTTATTTTTACTAGAGTAGAAAATATTTTTTAAAAACAAACTTAAATTTTTTTTAGGGGTGGGTGGGTGGGGGTCGAGGATAGGGATGAAAAAATGAAATTTTGAAATTGAAAATAATTTTTAAAAACAAACTTAAAATTTCTTTTTGGAGGTGGGGTCGAGGGTAGGGGTGAAAAAATAAAATTTTGAAGTTGAAAATATTTTGTAAAAATAAACTCAAGTTTTTTTGGGGGGTGGGGGGCTGGTAGGAGGGGAAGGGTGGGGGGGTTGAGGATCCGGGTGAAAAAAATGAAATTTTGAAGTTGAAAATATTTTTTTTAAAATAAACTTAATTTTTTTTTAAGGTGGGGTGGGGGGGCTGGCGGGGGGAGGGTCGAGGGTAGGGGTGAAAATATAAAAAATTGAAATAGAAAATATTTTTTAAAAACAAACTTAATTTTATTTTATTTTTTGAAGGGAGTGGCGGCTGGTAGGGGGCTGTTTGGGGGGGGGGGAGGGTAGGGGTGGGGGATAAAAAAAATTAAAAAAAAAATTAGAAAATCTTTTTAAAATAATTTTTAATATTTTTTTGGGTGGTGGTAGGTGGCTGGGGTAGGGGTGAGGGTGGGGTAAAAAAATTTAAGTTAAAAATATTTTTTAAAAACAAGCTTTAAATTTTTTTGGAGAGGGGTGGTTTGAGAGTAGGGACAAAATAAATTGATTTTTTCAAAAAAAATAAATAAATTGTAATTTGAAGTTGGATGAGAGATTTGGAAAATGTTTTCTTTAAGTTTTGAAGGGAAGTCATTTCCCTTAAATTTGAAGAAAATGAGTTGATTTGGAAAACATTTAACCCAACTAAACATGAGAAAATTGAAAAAACATTTTTCGAAAAATGTTTTCCTTCATACCAAACACACCCATAGTGTCTAATTATGTGTATTTTGACATTAACAAACACAGCAACCTCAACTATGGACCATTTGGACGTGCCATCAATGAGGACCTGTTGAACAATCCATATTTAGTGGCCACGGACCCAGTGATCTCATTCAAATCAGCTATCTGGTTCTGGATGACCCCTCAATACCCAAAGCCTTCTTGCCACAATGTCATCATCGGAAGTTGGCAACCATCTAGCGCTGACCAAGCAGCCAATCGCATCCCTGGATTCGGTGTCATCACGAACATCATCAATGGTGGTGTGGAATGTGGTCATGGTAATGATGATAAGGTCCAGGATCGAATTGGGTTTTACATGAGGTATTGTGGAATGCTTGGAGTTAGCCCAAGTGACAATCTTGATTGCGGCAACCAGATGCATTTCTGACTCTTAGCCGATTCTATGTAACCATACCTCATCTGTTTTGTTGTCTGATTAATTAAGACCTCGTTTAATAGTAAATAAGGATTTTTGTCTTGGATACGTATATCGTAATGAAGTCTCCTTCATATATCGACCTCGGATATTTCCACAAGTATTATGTATGAAAAGTGATTTTGGCACTTTAATCAAATAAAATTTTGCAATAAATTTATCAATTATTGATGAACAAATAGCAAGAAAAAAAAATTAAAAGTGTGATGGAAATAATTTGATAACTAATAAAATTGGAGAATGAGACAGGCTTGAATATTTTTTGAAATAATTTTTTTTCTTAAAATAAAAGTGTTTTGAAAAGAGTCTGAATGAGAATAAGACTATCACAAATTTGGTTCATTCAGATCTTTTCAGATTCGTTAAGAGATTCTTAAATTAAAAAAAAAAACCCTTTAATTGCCTAATGAGTAATGTCTGGATCATATGACCCAAACATCCATTAAGTGCAAGCAAATGAGGCTTTAGGTACACTCTAATTTACAATATTACGAATCTTATCACATTTAGGTGCATCTAGATATACGTTTCGATACATCTAGATACATGAGATAAAAATTATGTGTAATTTGTTCTAGATAGATAGGAGACTGGAGCCTAAAGGGCAAAAAAAATTGTCAAAAATTTCAAAAAGATACATCAATTTTTTTTTAACTAAAAGGGAAAAAGCGCTCCTAACGTAGCGATTTTCTTCTGACACCGTTACTCCGTTAGGTCAGCGATTTTGTCCAAAAAAAAATTTCCTTTTTTTTAAGAATATCGCTGCCTGAGCAGCATTTTTCGCGAATTTTTTTTAAAAAAAATTAAGTCGCTGCTATGGCAGGATTGTTATAAAAAAAAAAATTAATATTAAAATTCGCAGCGATTTTCTATCAGAAACTAAAAAAAATAAAATTGAAAATCGCTTCACATGTAGCGATTTTAGTTTTTAATTTTTTTTTTTAATAAAGGCAGCGATTTAGTAAAAAAAATAATTAAAAAATCATGTGAATGTTTGAACAATTAAAAAGAAATTGGAAGGGAATTTCGCTGCCAAGGCCATGATTATTAAAAAAAAGTTTTTTAATAGTCATTCTAAAATGGGCAAATTACAGAAATCGCATACTTTTAAGGCAAAATTATAATTTATCCCTTAAAAGTTTATAATTACAGAAATTCCTCAAAACGGATACAATAATATAAGCGTTGATACATTAATCTGATTCACGAGATACATTAATCGTTAAGTAAGATACATTACATTTTATACATGATACACTAATCTGATATACATTTTATACATGATACACTATCTGATGCGCGAGATACACTAATTTGTTGTTCATTTTATGCATGATACACTATCTGATGCGCGAGATACACTAATCTGATGCGCGAGATACACTAATTTGATGCGCGAGATACACTAATTGATGTGCGAAAATAAGGAATTTTAAAGATTTGTAAAACTTATGGGAGATAATGGTCGTAAGTAAACTAAAAGGTGGGATATCTGCAATTTTTCCTAAAGTCCATAACGCATAGGGATATCACAAAATCATTGAACCAAAAATAAAATATAAATATATGAATGAAAGAATAATACTAAAAACTAAGAATAATACTAAAAACTATATACATTAGCAAACTTAAATATGTCATTCATACATTAATTTTTTTTTTACTGAAATCGCTGCCAGGCAGCGATTATTAATTTTTTTTTTTAACTAAAATTGCTAAAGGTGAAGCGATATCTAATTATTTTATTTTAATTTTTGATAGAAAATCGTTGCTAATTTTAATATTAAAAATATTTTTTTATAACAACGCTACTATAGCATCGACTTTATTTTTAAAAAAAAAAAAATTGCGAAAAACGCTGCTTTGGCAGTGATGTTCTTAAAAAAAAGGAAAATTTTTTTGGACAAAATCGCTGGTAGGTCAGTGGTTTTGATTCTAACGGAGTAACGGCGTCAGAAGAAAATCACTACGTGAGGAGCGTTTTTGCCCTTTTGGTTAAAAAAAATTGATGTACGTACCCCTTTGGAATTTTTGGCAATTTTTTTTGCCCTTTAGGCTCCAGACTTAGATATATTATATCCAAGTGGATTCACATGTATCTAGATACATAACAAAGCTCGTTCGCTTCCCTCTCATCTCGTTTGTCACTCTCCTATATCTCTAGTATCCCATATGTTGAGAAAATAATTAATTAATATTCTCTCTAACAGTTGAGATGGTTACACACTTCAACACCATATGCATGGAAATCACACTATATACACGGTGTCTATTAGATGAGACGATCACACACTTCAACATTAGATACATGTGAATCACACTATATACATGTCTGTTGCATGTATCTGGGATACATAACAAATTTTGTTCGCCTCGTTTCCATCTCGCTTGCCTCTCTCCCTATTTTATTGTATTTGGTAGCAAAAATACATGTATTTGGGTATATCTTCCTCAATATATGATAGAAAATTTTTAATCAGTGGTAAGATACATAATGTTTTAATAATAGTATATATGATGGTGAAATATATTTAATTAGGTAATTTCTCCCCTTTTCAATAGGTAAAAGTTTATTTGAAAAATCAAAGTCCAAATTTTATGTTATCCTCAAGGCTTGTCAAAGTAGTGATGTTAGCGGATAACCAAACAAACACAAAACGTCTAAAATATATATTTAAAATTTAAGTAATGTTTGACGTTAAGAGCCGCCTCTTATTTTATAAAAAAATAATTCCAGACCTGCCCCACCCTCCACCCCCACCCCAAACCCCACCCCCTTTTGAAAATATTATGCTCTACGTTTTAATTTATGCGTCTTAATTTTGTTCAACATGAGATTTAAGAAAATCTTTCAAAAATAATTTGTGATTTTAAAACAAAATGTTTTTAAAATTGTGTCATCTTAAAAATATCATTTACGATACTGTGTTTAAGGAATTTATCAAATAAAAAGTGATCTGTTTTTCTGAAGGAGTATATATAAAAGTAAGACAAATATATTAAAATCATCCTTAGAAAAATATACTTATTTAATACTCCTACTAGTAATTTTAGTTTATAAATTTTTTATTCTATTTTCAGAGCCTGTTTCGATTAGTTTATTTTAAGTGTTGAAAACAATTGATTTTAAATTAAAATTATAAAAATAAGTCAAAAGTCATAAATTAATAACTTATGACTCATAAATCAAAAACCAATCTAAATAGGCTCTTAACTACATAAATTTTATAACTTATTTTAGATAATATATTTTATTTTTAAAAAAAATATTCTAAAATTTCATACTAATAAAATATCATCACCAGTTGAGAATTGAGATAATAATTAATGAAAATAAATAAAATAAACTTAAAGAAGATAAGAGCCGCCACCAAATTATACGTTTCCGGTCATGGTGCTCAACATTTGATTTTTGTCACAAATTAAAGTCGTCATACGTCACAACCACTAACGATTCAGTCATGTCTGCTCCGTTAAAATTGAGTGATTTTTTGAGAAAAAAAAAGTTGAAATGACGATCTGAGATATTCTGGCTATAAATACCTTTAACTTTACCACTTGTTCCCCATCATGACCTTTTCCTACAACACTAAAATGAGGCATTTTGAATTCATAATTTTTTCTTTACTATTTTCTCTACTTTTGCTGACTGCCTCGGCAGAGCAATGTGGTGTGCAGGCAGGAGGTGCGCTTTGTGCCGCGGGACTCTGTTGCAGCAAATTTGGCTGGTGTGGTTACACTGATGCCCATTGTGCTCCCGGCTATTGTCAGAGCCAGTGTCGTGACAGCCCCGGTCCTATTGGGGACCTTGGCGGTGTCATCTCAAATTCCATGTTTGATCAGATGCTTAATCATCGCAACGATAATGCTTGTCAAGGAAAGAATAATTTCTATAGTTACAATGCCTTTATCACTGCTGCGAAGTCTTTTCCTGGCTTTGGCACCACTGGTGATACTATTGCCCGTAAAAGGGAAATTGCTGCTTTCTTTGCCCAAACCTCCCATGAAACTACTGGTACGTCAATTTGAATTTGATAAATTCAATATTTAAATCGAATAATTATAATTTTATTGTGAGTCAAACTTTTCAGTAATAATAATTGATTATTTACCCGTTTATATATATATATATATATATATATATATATATATATATATATATATATATAGGAGGGTGGCCTACGGCACCAGATGGACCATATGCATGGGGTTACTGCTTTCTTAGAGAACAAGGTAGCCCGGGCGACTACTGTACACCAAGTAGTCAATGGCCTTGTGCTCCTGGAAGGAAATATTTTGGACGAGGCCCAATTCAAATTTCACAGTAAGCTAGATTAATCTATTTGTCCTGTGGTAAAATTTGATGAACTTGTAATGTCTAATTATGTGTATTTTGACATTAATAATCATAGCAACTACAACTATGGGCCATGTGGAAGAGCCATTGGAGTGGATCTTTTAAACAATCCTGATTTAGTAGCCACGGACTCAGTCATCTCATTCAAATCAGCCATTTGGTTCTGGATGACCCCTCAATCACCAAAGCCTTCTTGTCATGATGTCATCACTGGAAAATGGCAACCATCCAATGCTGACCAAGCAGCTAATCGCCTCCCTGGATTCGGTGTCATCACTAACATCATCAATGGTGGCATGGAATGTGGTCATGGGAATAATAATAGGGTCCAAGATCGAATTGGATTTTACAGGAGATATTGCGAAATTCTTGGAGTTAGTCCTGGTAACAATCTCGATTGTGGCAACCAGCGGTCCTTTGGAAACGGACTCTTAGTCGATACTATGTAACAACTTCATCGCCTGTTTTGTTGTATTCTCTTGCAACATATAATGTCTCAGCTATAATTGCTTGTAATAATAAACAAAGACACTTACCTCCAAAAGTTCAATCTTCGAAATCAAATCAATGTGTATATGCTTACAACTCATTTAATAATTGTTTATTGTAGGAATCGTTGTTTTGTAATAACAGTTAAATTTATAAATAGAGTTAAATGATGAAATAAGAACAAATTGAAGAATGCAAACTACTTAAAAAAAACAAAGGAGATGTTGTTCAACGAAAGTGGTGTCGTAGTTCAACAAATGTATAAGAGAGGCACGCCTGCTTTTAGCTCGCGCGCTCTTGCTTTTTTAATTTATTTATTTATTTATTTTGATTGAGTCAATTATTTATCAAAAATAACCTTTCTATCTTTCAAATGTGTCTTACTTATTTTATGTGTTTGGTATATAAGCAAAATTTATTATTTCAAAGATATTTATACGTATTCCAAGTAAAATTCATTTAAAGAGTGAGAGGAGACGATCAACGTAGTGAAACTTATTCTTTTACTCTCACTAACAAAATTGTTTTTCACATACTTAAAACTTTTCTTAGATAAAACAAAAAATCAATAAGTTTGACTAACAAACAAAATTTTAAAAAATGTTTGACTTGATTTTTCCAAATACAGAGACGTGAAACACTTTCTTTTCAACTACTCATATCAATTATTTAAGCATCTTTGGAAAGTGTAAACTCTGCAAAATAATAAAAGTTGGTCAGAAGTGGAAGTTTGGCTTAATGATCCTTTTCTTTAAAAGGAAGAGTACGTTTCTATTATCGGATTAATTAAAAGGAAAATTACGTGGATAGTTAAGTATATACTAATTAATTACTTAATATAATTATAGTTTGTATTGATTATAATTCGTGATTAATCGTTAACCATATATTTACAATTATCTGATACATATACAAATACAATTCGTCTCTCTCCACTCTCTGTCCTCTCTTGATCACCTCTCTCCTCCCTCTCTCAGTCTCACTCGCCTCTCTTCTCTCTCTAATATATTGCTACGAATTGTAATTACCAAACTATATATAAAGAGCATAATTAAATTTATTTTAGTGGCTATTTGCAAATTTTCCTCTCAATTGAACGGAAGAAGTCAAATATATTCTTAGGGGCCGTTTGGTTACTGGTTAGAGTTATGCAGGGTTTAATTATGTAGGTATTAGTTATGCTGGGTTTAATTATGTAGGTATTAGTTATGCAGGGTTAATTATGTAAGTATTAGTTATGCAGGGTTTAATTATGTAGGTATTAGTTATGCAGGGTTTAACTATGTAGGTATTAGTTATGCAGGGTTTAACTATGTAAGTGTTAGTTATGCAGGGTTTAATTATGCATGGTTTAGTTATGCATGTATTAGTTATGCAATGTTTAGTTATGTAAGTATTAGTTATGCGAGTATTATTTAGTTATGTAGAGATTACATTACATGAATTATTAACTATTGAATATTGATTTTAATATAAATTAATATATATTATTTACAAATAAAATAAGTAAGCAAATAGTATAAACTCTCCCTTAAAAAAAAAATAAAGGAATTTTCTCTATACTTAACTAGGAATTTTGTGTTTTTTCTTTCTTTGTTTTTTTAATGTTTAAAGCTAATAAAAATAAAATATTATTAATATATTTCAAATAGTACATTATACTATCCTATTTTATATAATGTAAATGTCTATCAATATGATGCATGCGTTGTTTGTACATTTTTAGTATACCAAATATATAAATTATATATAAATTCACACTTTAAATAAAAAATTAATACATGATAATTAAATATGTGGATATATTTAGTAATATATAATGCGAATATATAATAAGCATATGCGCTATCAAAATTATACATTCCTATTCATAATATCAATAAATATTTATATTTATATTTTAAATGAAAACAAATAAAAAGCCATTTGTATACGAAAAGAAAAGAAATATGAAACAAAAATAGTTGGGAAAATAGAATAGTTATGTAAAGTTTTTAATAAAAAAAGATTTAAAAATAAATTAATAGGGATAAATGTGTAATTTATCTTTTTAAAACATGTATAACTAATACCTACATAACTTATTCCACTTTCTATCCTGCATAACTTATACTTAGATTCCCTCATAAGTTATGTAGGTATTAATTATGTAGGATTACAAAAAACCCAACCAAACATCATATAAAATTAATACATAAATAACTTTTATACAATATTTAGAAGTTATCAACCAAATATAGTACAAATCATGTTGACTTTTCAACCTAATAAAAAACTTTTACCAAACATTGTAAAACTAATACAATGTTTTATACATGAATAATATGTCCTCTTATACCGTAATCAAACGACCCCTTATTGTACTCTAATTTTATTTTATTTTGACATTAAATTTAAGCTTCCCTATTTAAAAGAACTTGATACTCTCTCCATTCGATTTTATATCATATAATTTTATTTGACACACAATTTAAGGATTTTTTTTTTTTTTGGTAATAAATGGTCTAAATAAGAGATAAATGTTGACTATGAATAATATTATAAATGATAAAACGAGTTTTTAATATTAATAAATTATTATTAAATAGGTAAATATAATATATATATATATATATATATATATATATATATATATATATATATATTTTATTTTATTTTTTTTATTTTTTTTATTTTTTTATTTTTTTTATGTATGATTAAAATAAAAATGAATCGAATAAATTAGGGGAGAGAGAGTATAAAATATAAGAAAAATTTATTTGAAAAGTCAGTCCAAATTCCGCCGTCGTTAAAGGACAACAGGACACGTTACATCTGAGGGAATACAATATCACACCGTCCATAGTCTTTATATTTCTCTATTTTGATTTTATTTTTAGTTCGTTTATAAAAAATAATTTTATTTTTAATAATTATTTTGTTTCAACTTTTACATAGCATAGGATATTTAAAATCATAAAACTAGAACATATTTTAATATATTTATATAATTTTTATTTGAAGTTAGTAATATTTAAAGGATCTTTTTTTACTTTATTAAATATTATATCAGATTAAACACAAATAAATAAATAAAAACAAACGAGGTATATTGTCATTTGTCAAAAATATCTGAACAATTTAAAAATGACAATTGATACCTTAACATGGGGAGTAAGATAATTTTAAAAACACCTGCCGTTAACATTACTTTGTCTAAAAAAACCAGCAACTAGGTCTTAAATATATCATATTATATACTAGTGAAATAACGTCAAGAAAAAATCTGGAATAATTATAAGAGCCGCCACTTTTTTTTTTATTTGACCCCCTTAAAATATTATATTTTCTTAATTTTAATTTATGTATTTCAATTTAATTACGCACAAAGTTTTAAAAAGATTTTAAATAAAATTTAAACTAAAATAGATATATTATTTAGAATATTTAATTGAAAGAATTACTTTCAAAAAGTGGTATTCATTTTTCAACATACTAGAGAAAAAGTAAGACAAATTGAGATGATCCTTCTATATTAATTAACGTAATATTTTTTATATTTAATTTTTATTATTTTATATTCAATTAGATGATTTATAATGACGTAGATATCTATTTTAATTTAGATCATATATTTTATAATCTTTATTCTTAAATTTCATACTCAATAATTGCATACATCAGAGGGAAGAGAGTAATTAATGAAAATAAAATATTTTCTCCCTTTTTTTTAGTTGTCATAATTTTGAGAATCAAACAATATGAATTTTGATTAATATTTTTTTAAAAATATTAAAATGAAAAGAATTAGTACAATTTATTGTACTTTTATATATATTTTGAATATATAAAATTTTATTTTTAAAATATCAAATAAATATGATCTAACTTTACTTTAAATAATAGTCAAATTAATTTTCAAAAATATAAGCACAATTAAAAACGAACGGGGATTGAGGGAGTAAAATAAGAAGCTAAAAGCCGCCAGTATATTTACATGTTACCTGTCAGCGTACTCCACTGAATTTAATTCTGGATAAGACAGAGGACTATGAGATTTGTGCCTACTTTATTCAACACCTTACATTTTTTTCACAAATCAAAGTCACAGCTATCAATATTAAACGTGTTTCATTCTTAATTAGAGATTTTAGATTAAGTTTTGAATATGAAATTTTTTTTGTTGGGAGCATTATTTTTGAATGGACCCTGCAAAGCGTAATTCAAATTTAGTCGAAAGTCTAATGTGAACTCTGAATATTAAATTAGAAAACAAAAAAAAGTCACAGCTACTAATAGACAATTCACCTTAGGTCTCCATCACGGCATCTTCCTTCTTCTTACCTATAAATAGCTTCCATTTTACAAATTGTTTCCCATCAACTAATTTTACTAGTTATTACTACATCAAAATGAGGCTTTCTGAATTCACTACTCTTTTCTTACTATTTTCTGTGCTTTTGCTGTCTGCCTCGGCAGAGCAATGTGGTTCACAGGCTGGAGGCGCACTTTGTGCCTCGGGACTCTGTTGCAGCAAATTCGGCTGGTGTGGTGACACTAATGATTATTGTGGTCCTGGTAATTGTCAGAGTCAGTGTCCTGGCGGCCCCGGTCCTTCAGGGGACCTTGGCGGTGTCATCTCAAATTCCATGTTTGATCAGATGCTTAATCATCGCAATGATAATGCTTGCCAAGGAAAGGGTAATTTCTATAGTTACAATTCCTTCATCAGTGCTGCTGGGTCTTTTCCTGGATTTGGTACTACCGGTGATATCACTGCCCGTAAAAGGGAAATTGCTGCTTTCTTTGCCCAAACTTCCCATGAAACTACTGGTACATCGATTTGAATTTGATAAATTCAATATTTAGATCGAACAATTATAATATCCTTGTGATTAATTATGTACCTGTTTATATATATATAGGAGGATGGCCTACGGCACCAGATGGACCATACGCATGGGGTTACTGTTTCCTTAGAGAACAAGGTAGCCCGGGTGATTACTGTACACCAAGTAGTCAATGGCCTTGTGCTCCTGGAAGGAAATATTTCGGACGAGGCCCAATCCAAATTTCACAGTAAGCTTATATATATAATACTCAATCATTTTCATTGACTATAGAGCTAGACAAAAAACTCTTTTTTTCCGTTACAACAAGTTAAAATATATTAATGTGATGAGGTCTAATTACGTGTATTTTGACATATACAATCAGCAACTACAACTATGGGCCATGTGGAAGAGCCATCGGAGTGGACCTTTTAAACAATCCTGATTTAGTAGCCACAGACTCAGTCATCTCATTCAAATCAGCTATTTGGTTCTGGATGACCCCTCAATCGCCAAAGCCTTCTTGCCATGATGTCATCACCGGAAGATGGCAACCATCTGGTGTTGACCAAGCAGCTAATCGCGTCCCTGGATTCGGTGTAATCACAAACATCATCAATGGTGGCTTAGAATGTGGTCATGGCAGTGACAGCAGGGTCCAGGACCGAATTGGATTTTACAGGAGGTATTGCGGAATTCTTGGAGTTAGCCCAGGTGACAATCTTGATTGTGGCAATCAGAGGTCTTTTGGAAACGGACTCTTAGTCGATACTATGTAATGATCGACTTCTATCATATAAGGCCCCAACTATAAATAAATTTATGTATGTACGAAATTGTATGAATTGTGATTGTAATATGATGGGACCACGACTTATAATTGTTTGTTTTTATAATAAACAAAGACTATTGTTCTTCTTCTAATGTTGTGACGGGTCATGCTAATTAGCATTATGGAAACAGGTTAACAATCGAGCCATTTCATTACATTATTTAGGAAAGCACTTAAGTTATAATCTAACCTTATTATAATAGGTCAGTTAACATTATTTTCTAAAAGATTATCAATCAGTATTTTAACATTGAATAGAGTTATCTGGCATTATCTGTTAAATAGTAATCTGATTGTATAAATATTTTATACATCTTTAATTCACACCACAACCTAGCTCCTCTTTAGTTTTCTAATAATGTTTGTAAATTGTTAAGTAAAGAACTATTGAGCTGAATATTGGTGGTGTGTTGATGCTATATATTGGATGGATTTAGATGTGACAAGTCAATTAGTGAGTAAAAGATAACCCAAGAATTATGCCTAATCAAGTGAGCTCATATATGAAGGGGCTAGTCCATATGCTGGTTTTCATTTACTTAAGTGCCTTTCCATTTTTCCTTTTACACTTGAGTCATTTAATCAACACAGATACAATGTATCTCAATGAAGTCCATCAATCAACCTCAAATTTTTCCACAAGCATTACTTTTTCCCTTAAGAAGTTACAACTTTGAAAGTCAAATCAGTGTGCATGTGGTTACAACACATTTGGTAACATAAAATTTGTGCAAATGATTTTGTGTTTTAATTCCTTGAATCATCATCTCCACAATATCTAAGTAGCTGTGACAAAATAGTTTGTTTTCTCAGTAGTACCTGCGCCTTTTGTTCTATTGATAACTTGAACCCAGCTACAGTGGGACTGGGATACGACCAAGACTCCTATGGGAGACAGTAGTGGGGAATTTTCTACAAAACGTAAAGAATGTTTATTATTATCCGAGCAACTCCTGTTACTAATAATAATAATTATTGGAACCTCAATATTTTTGGGTCCAAAGAATATTATTAAGTTCATGTGGTTTGGCAATCAAGGAAATCATTTCATTGAAAGAGTTTTGAGGTTAGAAGTTGAGTTAATGTGTAACTATGAAAACCAATAATCATTAGACTCTTGTTGGTTCAAATGACGCCAAAGGAATTGATAAATAGTGAAAAAGCACTTTTAGACGTTGAGGTTAATTTTATAAAAAGTTATGTGTTTAGATAAAAATATTAAAACTAAAAGGAACTAGATTTGTTTTGATAAAAGAATTATGATAAAACACTTTTTCAATTAAAATGAGTCACAAAGATGGTTATGGCTGATTTTGGTTTATGCACTTTAAATATTACCAAACACGTAAATAAATCAAAAAGTATTTATACACTATTTAAACTAGCTTATAATAATAACATTAGCCAATTATTTTAATACAGAGACGTGAAGGACTTCTATAGAATTGATCAAATTATAATATATATATATAGAGAGAGAGAATTGATCAAACCAATTATTTAAGCATCTTAGGAAAGTCATAAACTCTATATAATAGTCTCTGTTCCATGTTTATGACATTTTTTTTGTTTTTTTGGAGAATCAAATAACGTAAATTTTGATTAATATATTGAAATATTTTTTTTGTCATACTAACATAAAAATAATTGTAACTTATAATATTTTTTATATAATTTTTTAAACAAATAAGTTTTAATCTTAAAATATTAAATTAATATAATTGAATGTAATTTTAAAATTAACTAATTAACTCACGCAATAATCCTTCTTTATAATTTGATGCGAATGAAAGAGTGCCTTTTTAATATTGGATTAAATAAATAACATATGATGTTGGTGTTGCTTTCTCTAGAGACAAGCTACTTAAAAACTTTTTAATATTGGATTAAACTAAAAACATATGAAATTTATTAATTTTCTCGATTAGATCTGCTCATGCCGTGTAAAATTTATTACAAAATAAAAGCATTTGAAAAATCTGGAAAGTCAAAAGCCGCCACTATTTTTTAATTTCCTTTCTGGCTTTCCCCTGGAAATTATATACTGTCAAAAAACTGAAACATTAATAGTTAATAAAAATAAAATAAGAAGCTAATAGCCGCCACTTATTTATTTATTCATTTTTATTTATCAAACTATCTTAAAAATAAATTTTCTCTTTTTTTTTTTTTTTAATTTATTAAGAAAAGATTTAAAAAAATCTTTATGTTATTTTACTAGTAAAAATCAATTAATAAAAACAAAATATTAAAATAATCATATCAATCGTTATATTATAATGATGAATGTATCGAGTTTAAATATGACAAATAAAAGTAAACTGAGCGGATATTTCTTTGATCCGGATAATAGCCGCCGCTTAGTATACGTGATGACACGGATAAAACAGAGAACAATGAGAAATTGAGAATTGTGTCTTGTTTAGTCAACAACTGCTTTGTCACCTTCCTTACCTATAAATACCTTCTACTTCACCACTTTCTTCCTATCACTTTTTACTACTTCCATTAAAATGAGACTTTCTGAATTCACAGCTTTTTCTTTGCTGTTTACTCTCTTATTACTAACTGCCTCGGCAGAGCAATGTGGTAGGCAGGCAGGAGGTGCCCGTTGCGCCGCGGGACTCTGTTGCAGCAATTTCGGTTGGTGTGGTAACACTAATGACTATTGTGGTCCTGGCAAGTGTCAAAGCCAGTGTCCTTCTGGTCCTTCTCCCAAACCACCTACCCCTGGCCCCGGTCCTTCTGGTGGAGACATAGGCGGCGTCATCTCAAATTCCATGTTTGATCAGATGCTTAAGCATCGCAATGATAATGCTTGTCAAGGAAAGAACAATTTCTATAGTTACAATGCCTTTATTAATGCTGCCAGGTCTTTCGGTGGCTTTGGCACTACTGGTGATACCACTGCCCGAAAAAGGGAAATTGCTGCTTTCTTTGCCCAAACCTCCCATGAAACTACTGGTATGTCGATTTGAATTTGATGGATTCAACTTTTCAATTGAGATCTAATATAATTGATTATGTACTTATTGATATATAGGAGGATGGCCTTCAGCACCAGATGGACCATACGCATGGGGTTACTGCTTCCTTAGAGAACAAGGTAGCCCGGGCGATTACTGTACACCAAGTGGTCAATGGCCTTGTGCTCCTGGAAGGAAATATTTCGGACGAGGCCCCATCCAAATTTCACAGTAAGTTACAATAATTTTAGCAGAGTCATGTTAAAGAATTTAAGGGGAATTATTTGTTATGAATTTTGTTGGGTCTAATTATGTGAATTTTGACATTAATTAACACAGCAACTACAACTATGGGCCATGTGGAAGAGCCATCGGAGTGGACCTTTTAAACAATCCTGATTTAGTAGCCACAGATCCAGTCATCTCATTCAAATCAGCTATCTGGTTCTGGATGACCCCTCAATCACCAAAGCCTTCTTGCCACGATGTCATCACTGGAAGATGGCAACCATCTGGCGCTGACAGAGCAGCCAATCGCCTCCCTGGATTTGGTGTCATCACAAACATCATCAATGGTGGCCTAGAATGTGGTCGTGGCAGTGACAGCAGGGTCCAGGATCGAATTGGGTTCTACAGGAGGTATTGCGGAATTCTTGGAGTTAGTCCAGGTGACAATCTTGATTGTGGCAACCAAAGGTCTTTTGGAAACGGACTCTTAGTCGATACTATGTAATGACTTCATCATCTGTTTGTTGTATTCTCTTGTTACAATGCAGGGCCTAGAATGAATAGATTTACTTATGTAATTGTGTTGTAATATGATGGAACCACGACTTATAATCGTTTTTCATTTTAATAAACAGAGACTTTGTCCACGATAGTGGATGGTTCTACTTCTACAGTTGTGACTTATGACAGGTAGTTGGTTCAATTCAAATCCAGATAAATACTGACTAGTCAATCGAGCAATCTCATTATTTAGAAAAAGGATTTAAGTTACTATGGGCTCACCTACCCACTCGACTTTTAATTACAAATAATCAAGATTTTCTATCATTGACAAAGTTCATCACATACAAATAGGGCAAATTGGTTGAATACCAAACAAACATGTCTGACTAATCCAAATTCGTATTGAAAGAAAAATGGATTACGACACATTTTGACCTTAACAGACCTCCTACAGCTTTTAATTGCACGTATTACATGTTAATCTCAGTCATTTGATGAGACAACTTCTCTTCTAAGTTTTATGAGATTTAAGTGAATGAAAACCTTTCTAGATGATACATATTCTTTTAAAAGGAAAATTACGCGTACAAAGCAAATATATACAAGTTAATTACTTAACATAACTATAGTTTGTCTTAATTACAATTCACAACCTACTTTTAGTTATAATTACGCGGCTCAACTTTTTAGTTTTGTATAATTCGGAATTTGTATAACTTTTATATAATTCAGAATTTGTATAATATAATTTGTATAACTTTTGTATAATTCGGAATTTGTATAATATAATTTGTATAACTGTTTACACTTCTGATGTTTGTAATTATATAAATTCGTTATTTTGAGTTTATATAAAATTAACTAAATTATACAAATGTACCCGCGAATTATACAAACTTGCGAATTATATGAATCCGCAAATCATACAAACGAGACAGCTTAAACTGTAGCTACAACCCATACTATAGCTATAGAACATAATTAAATTTATTAGAGTAACTATTTGCGAAAGTTCCTCATTTTTTAAATGAGTGGAAAGAAAGAACTTTGAACCTCAAAAATTAGGCATCCAAGGTACAGCCACCGTCTCTGATTTTGAGTATTGCATTTTTGGGACCAAACTGTATCATCATACTAGGGATTAAAGCTATCAACTGCAAAAGATATACATGGAAAATCACTGTTAAGGTGGTGCAATTGCTTATACATCTTGTGAATCATAAGAAGACACAGAATTTGCTATTATTTACAAGTAATGCTTGAGTCATACTAGACATCCTAAGAAACTATTTCAGCAACGTGAAATATAGTTAATTAATGTGCATTTTGGCATTGATAGAAATAAGGTAGCTCTTTATTTGTCTACCTATCAAAAATTCTTTAGTATAGTGCTTACCCAAGCAAGGCCGACGCAGAACAAGTTGAATCCAGGATAATTGAATGGAGCCTTCTCAGATAAAAATAGATCTACATACCAGGAAAGAAAATACAGTTAATTTGACATTCAGATCCTACAAAGCCAGTGTGCTATTGCCAGCAAATCCAGGATTTTCACTAAGGGGGTCCGAAAATAAAATAAAATGTAGTATTTGAGATTTGAATTTGGAAGCTCAAGGTAAATTTTGAATCCCATCAACCACTAAGATGACATCTACTCTTATGTTCAAGATGTTTGAAATCTATATATATATATATATATACCTTATATACCGTGTAATCTTTTTTGCTGAGCCACACAAAACTTTGACCATGAAAAATATTTGAAGGTTCAACTTACCTGTTAGAGGAGTATATATTAATGGAGAAAGAATATTGCCAAATGAGCTTATGCCTGCAATGCACCCTTGAGCAATTCCCTATCACATTAACAGAGAATTAATGTAATAGAAAATACTGATCCAACACATAAGTAAATTAAAATTAAGGTAGAAGATCAGCAACATCTAAATTGTTCACCTGTTCATTTGGCCCAACTTGTTTTGAAACAATGCTTTGTAACTACATTTTACAACACATGATCAGATCAAATAATCAACAGAACCAAAAAAAAGTGTTTAATCTTCCACAGCAGGTCTTGTAAGGAAGGCAATGATAGGTGTTATAGAATATAATAGGTGTAAATACTATATCTTCCATATGGCTAACTTAATTATAGGAGCAGATTCTTAGTTGATATCCTTGATTTACTTTGATTAGTTTCCTTTCATAGAAGCATATGTATTTGTATAAGTATCTTGTCTTGATGAAAAAAGAGAAACAAGTCATTCTCCATATAATATAAGTTACATGGTATTAGAGCAGCTGTCTAAGCTGGGATTTTGGCTTTGCTAGAAGTCACTGTGACTTCGCTGGAAGCTATTGTGGCTTCGGGGAAGTAGTTGAGAGCTCTATCTTTCACCTTTGAATCTGGACACCATTTCTGTGTTAGAGAAATTGATTGTCTAGGTGTACTGAATCCATTTTGTAGCACCTGGGTTCGGATTGAAACTCTGAAATCTGATGCTAATTATCTGCCTTTCTCGAGTGAAGCTGGTGCTTCAAAATTCTAGAAATTCAAGAAGGGTGCTAAGAATATTTGTTGGAGATCTGGCTGTTTCGATAAGGTTATTTTGTCGGAACTCGAAACCTTGAAACGCAGTATCAAAGAAGACGACCTATCACCATCCTTCTATTTTTTGGGTTGCTGTCCAGAAAATATGTTGGCTTCTCAGACATTACTGCCTTTTCCGGTCAACATCCCCTTCGTTTCTATTTTTTCGGCCAGAGTGGTCTTGGAGTGGTCAGATCTGGTTAGTCATTTTATTTTGGTGTTTGTATTGTCTTTTTTTTGAAGGACTAGTTTTTGGAACGTGGGATGCACGTTTATCCCCTATTATTTCTATAAATTTTGTACATGCCTAATTTTATATCTTCAAACTCACGTTTCCAAAGACTTTTATTTTTATAAAATTTGTAACATGCCAAATTTAATGTATTATTCTACTAAGTATGTGTTTTGCAAACACGAAAATATCATCTAATTTTAACACAATTTTAGTTATTACTCTCACAATTTCTTTTTTTTAGTTGTCATATTGCGCTTTTTGAGAGTCAATTTGACTAATTTTTAAAGTTAATTTAGATTACACTAATTTGATATTTTGAAATAAGAATTTAGATATTCAAAAACTATACAAAAAGTACTATAAATTGCAATTTTTTCATATCAATATATATGATTAAAAAATATATATGAAAATGTTAGTTAAAATTTATATCGTTTGACTATTAAAGAGAAAATAGTAACAGCTACAAAAGAATGGAGGGAGTAGTTCACGAAATAGGAAATGTTGAACTATGTAAAACTAACTAAGATGGCATAACATCTAACATTATCGGAGTTACTGACATAGAATTAGCGTTGATACTTATAATATTAAAAAAATGATTAAAACACCTAAATAGGACTAACTTACTTTTTACCAACTAAAAAAGGCACATAGGATGCACCACATTCGAGGCAACCATGTTATTCCCAAGTATACATGTCCAGTAACTTCAATATCTTTAGAATGTGATACATAATCTTTAGGTTTATTCAAAAGTATGTAATTTTATTTTGGTTAAAATATGCAACAAAAAAATAACAAAAAACTTCATTTCATACAACAAATACCTTTTCAAGAAGCAGCATATATTAGGCAACCATGATTACATCTCCATGCCGGTTCACTACTAAATCATCAAAAACTCAATTATGCTAAATCATGATTATAACTTCTAAACTCTTCGTGTATGGAGAAATGAATGAAGAGGTTGAGTATATTTTATTAGGAAAATAAATCCTTGATTGATTACATGTACATTGATATTTCAAAAGTTAATATTGCAATAAAGATCGGAAGATGAAGCAATTCAAAATTGACATTAAATAAACATAATTAAGTACTAAAAAAGTGATACAAAGTTCAAGAAATAGTAAATACACATTATTAAGTCTATGGAAATTCAATATACACGTTTCACGAACTATAAGGAGAAGCCTAAACATTCAAGTTATTCATATACTAATGACATACGGTTAAATGTATATAGTCTCTTACTATTAACTGATTTATTAATTGTATGAATAGTATTACTACAACTTTTGGGTTTTCTAGTGTTGTATACTATAATATTATATAATTACTATCTAAATATAATTAAATAAATATTTTATAACATTTTAATTTAGAGTAGCTTTTTTAAATGGCATTATTGTAGTAACTCAATTTTATAGGGATATTTTGGTATTTCAACTTTCAACTTTTTTTGTTCCCACTTATAGTAATATATGATTATAGTCTGTTTGGGACTTGTTGGTTTCTCCACCAATTCAGTTTGGTACCGAAAGCATTTTGTTGGGAATATGACTGACTGAAATCAGGGAACCTTATAAAATGATTTTGATTTTGGCAAAGGAGTTTGCTGAATTCTCTCGATATCAGAAATTATTCAAGGAATCCACTTCAGTTAATGCCTTTACTGAATTAGATAAAACATGTCTTATCACCTCTTCAAATAAATGGGTGATTGATTCAGGTGCCTCAAATCACATGACCGGTAATCCTAACATTTTTACTAGTTTTCAGTCACACAAATCTCCCTCTCCGGTTATTGTAGCCGATGGATGAACTTGTAACAATGTTGGATATAAGACCGTTAAACCAACCTCCACTATTACCTTGTCATTATATTAAGTCAACCAAAGTTTGCCTTCAATTTGATTTTTGTTAGCAAAGTTACCAGAGACTTAATTGTTATATTTCGTTCTTTTCGGATCATTGTTTGTTTCGTGATCTTAAGACGAATCAGATTATTGGTAAAGGACATGTATCTGACGATCTCTATATTTTGGATGAATGGGGGCCTCAGTTTGTTGCCTGCTCTAGTGTTGTGTCTCCATTTGAAGCACATTGTCGATTGAGGCATCCTTCTCTACCCTTGCTAAAGAAGCTTTGTCCGCAATTCTAGAATATTTCTTCATTAGAATGTAAGTCATGTCGATTTGCAAAACATCATCGCAACTCATTAAATCCAAGGTTTAATAAGTGGGCTGAGTCAGCTTTTGAGTTGGTTCATTATGATGTTTGGGGACCATGCCTTGTCATTTCCAAAACCGGGCATAAGTATTTTATTACTTTTGTGGATGATTTTTCACGTATGACTTGGATTTATTTTATGAAAAGTCGCTCAGCAGTGTTTACTGACTTTTGTGCCTTCTATGTTGAACTTAAAACATAATTCAATGCTTTGGTATGTATTCTAAGGAGTGACAATGCTAAAGAATATATGTCAGAATCATTTCAATCATACGTGAGACAACATGGCATTCTCCACCAGTCTTCATATGTTGATACACCCTCTTAAAATGGAGTTTCTTAGAGGAAGAATATGCATCTACTTGAGATAACTCGGGCACTTTTGTTCCAAATGAGGGTTCCTAAACAGTTTTGGGTAGATGCAGTCTCTACAACTTATTTTCTGATTAATCGTATGCCATCCAATGTTCTTGCTGGTAATGTGCCTTATAGTGTTCTGTTTCCAAACAAGTCACTATTTCCAGTAGAACTTAAGGTGTTTGGAAGCACTTGTTATGTTCGAGATGGTCGACCATCTGTCACTAAGTTGGATCCAAAGGCATCGAAGTACGTTTTTTGGGGCTATTCTCGTCTTCAGAAGGGGTATCAATGTTATTCTGCTGAACTTGGCAAATATTTGGTATCAACTGATGTGGTATTTTCAGAGACTATACCTTTCTTTTATGCACCTCCCATTTCTACAAGTCAAGGGAGGAAGATGAGTAGTTAGTCTATGAGGTCACCCGTGTTTTGACAGAAGAATCAAATATCGTCCCTCCATCTCTCAGATCATCTATTGAGGATCAATCGAGTACTGTACCGTTAACTCTTGCACCATCTACGATTGTAAGACCTCCGGTTGTACAAGTTTACTCGAGGAGGCGAGAGGCCAATGATACATGTCCCACACCAGTCCCTTTGTCATCATATCCTCATTCGTTTGATCTTCCAGAAAATCTTGATCTCCCTATTACTATTCGCAAAGGTACACATAGTTGCAAATCTGCATAATACATTGCTAATTTTGTTTCCTATGGTCATTTATCCTCTATGTCTAGATCTTTGATTGTTTCTCTAGACTCTATCGTTGTTCCTAAGACAGTTAAGGAAGCCTTGAGTCACACTGGACGGTATAATGCAATGCTTGAGGAGATACATTCACCAGATGAGAATCACACTTGGGACTTGGTGGATTTACCAAAAGAAAAGAAGGCAGTGGGATGCAAATGGGTCTTTGCGGTCAAAGTTAATCCAGAAGGCTCTGTGGCTAGACTTAAGGCTCGAGTAGTGGCTAAAGGATATACTTATACTTTATGGGGTGGATTATTCAAACACATTTTCTCCAGTGGCTAAACTCACTTTTGTTCGCTTATTTATTTCCTTAGCTGCATCTAAGAATTGGTCGTTGCACCAGCTAGATATCAAGAATGCATTTTTTCATGGTGATATCCAAGAAGAAGTGTATATGGAGCAACCACCTGGGTTTATTGCTCAGAGGGAGTATGGGAAAGTTTGTCACCTAAAGAAATCCTTGTATGGTTTGAAACAAAGCCTTCGTGCTTGGTTTGGCAAATTCAGTGAAGTAGTTCAGGAATTTGGGCTGAAAAAGAGCATGTGTGATCACTTCATCTTTTATAAACAATCAACAATTGACATTATTCTTCTTGTGGTATATGTTGATGACATTATTGTTACAGGAAGTGATTATTCGGGGATCTTTTCACTTAAGTCATTCTTGCATACTAAATTCCACACAAAAGATTTGGGACAGCTAAAATATTTTTTGGGAATAAAAGTAACTAGAAGCAAGAAGGGAATCTTTCTATCTCAGAGAAAGTATATCCTTGACCTACTTGTGGAAACCAGCCAAACCTTGTAGTACTCCAATGGTCCCTAATATGCATCTAACCCGAGATGATGACAACCTCTTTGATGATCCAGAGAGATATAAGAGGTTAGTAGGGAAATTAAACTATCTCACTGTAACTCATCTAGATATTGCTTTTGCAGTGAGTGTTGTTAGCCAATTCATGTCTGCACCTACAATCAAACATTGGGAAGTCTTGGAACAGATCTTATGCTACTTGAAAAGATCCCCTGGACTTGGCATTTTATATGGTAACCACTGACATACTTACGTTGAGTGCTTTGCTGATGCTGATTGGGCTGGATGTAAAACCAATAGACAATATACTACTGGTTATTGTGTGTTTGTTGGTGGTAATTTGGTGTCATGGAGAAGTAAGAAACAAGGTGTTGAATCCCGATCCAGTGCAAACTATGAGTATAGAGCTATGGCGTAGTCCACATGTGAGATCATGTGGATACATCACATAGTGACATAAATTGGAATAAGACATTTTACACCAGCAAAACTCGGGTGTGATAATCAAGCTGCTCTTCATATTGCCTCAAATCATGTGTATCACGAAAGAACAAAGCATATCAAGGCAGATTGTCACTTAATTCGTGAGAAGATCCAAGATAACTTGATTTCCACCGGTTATGTAAAGACAGGAGAGCAACTAGCTGATTTGTTAACAAAGACATTAAATGGAGCTTGGGTCAATTATCTTTGTGACAAGCTGGGCATAATCAACATCTATGCTCCAGCTTGAGGGGGAGTGTTATAGAATATAATAGGTGTAAATATTATATCTCCCATATATAGCTAACTTAATTATAGGAGCAGATTCTTAGTTGATATCCTTGATTTTGATTAGTTTCCTTTCATAGAAGCATATGTATTTGTATAAGTATCTTGTCTTGATGAATAAAGAGAAACAAGTCATTCTCCATATAATATAAGTTACAATAGGCAACAAATTAGCAACATAAGGAGCCTGAGACACGAACGTGAAATGTATTTGGGAAATAAAAACATCAAATATCTTTAAATTTGAAATATACTAATGAAAAATCAGACATTGTGTTCAAGTGTTTGAAAGATTAAACTTACCCATACTGCCCATGCAATGCTAACAATCAGCATCTATAGAATAATAAGAACTTACTCAGTAAGTTATTACAAGTGCATACAGAAAATAGAAAAATAGAGAAGTTTGAAGAAGCACATACACTTATAAATCCAGCGATGCAGGATAAGGAGAGAATTGCCTCCTCTCCTGTAATAGGAGCCAATCGAGGCATCAAGAATAACTGCACCAAAATTTGACAAGAGGTATCACTTGGAGCAGTACTAAATGATAACAACATACCCAGTGTGAATTCACAAGTACTAAGGTAAGGGAAAGGAAGGGTGTATGTAGAGGTTATCACTATCTTGTGTGAGATAGAGAGGTTGTTTCCAATAGACCCTCAGCTGAAGAAAAAATGTATTCATAACCGTGTTTGACAGTAAAAACAGACTACATGATAATCATCAACAAGATATGGTTTCTGCTCAACAACACCATTTGTCAATAATCGATCACTTGATATATATATAAGTTAGACTATTATTTGGTATTGATATTTATGTATTTGGATGATACAACAGTAGCTCATTCATTGGATTAAAATATCATGGTTTAGCTTACTTTGCATTTGCTTATGGTTTGATAGTACTAGTTCATAACCAGTTTGTTTTCTTTCTATCATAGATGTAAAATCCTGGTTGGAACTACCTTTAAAACTGATCAGACTTGGAGAAAAGCTCTCAACACCTCTTTTCATTTTCTTATATTTTTTGATTATGTTGAATGATTTGATACCCCATTCATGTTCATATACCTTTAACTGGTCAACATTTTTATTTGTGAATATATGTTCTATGTCCCTTTCATGTCTGCTGGAAGTTTCTTTAGCCATGTCAAATTTTTTCTGTTTTACACCAAGTATTATTCTTGCTAATCGTCATAAGTATGAATAATCTATGCCCTCTTTGCATTTTGATGTGCAAACAACAGAATTTAAGGCCTAAACTCTGTTGGCAGGTAAAAATTGGCTGAAGCCCATAAATGCAAGGGAAGCTAAAGGGCAGAGAGTGAATTTTGGGGACTCAAAAGTCCAAATGCAGCAGAATAAGAAATGAGCTGAGATCCAACTATTTTAAAAATAGATTTTCACTTTTAATCTTTAACAAAAGACAAAAAAAAAAATAAAAATTCTTCATGTTATTTTATACTAGTAAACACCAATTAATAGAAATAAACTATTTTCATGATAGATGTATCAAATTCAAATATAACAAGTAAAAGTGAACAGATTGGATATTTCTTTAATTTAGATAACAGCCGCCGGTTAGCAGAGGTGGCCCCAATAAAACAGATACTATTAATGAGAAATTGAGAATTGTGTCTTGTTTAGTCAACATCTGCTTTGTCACCCTCCTTACCTATAAATACCTTCTACTTCACCACTCTCTTCCCATCACTTATTACTACTATTAAAATGAGACTATCTGAATTCACAGCTATTTCTTTACTGTTTTCTCTCTTATGGTTAACTGTCTCGGCTGAACAATGTGGTAGGCAGGCAGGAGGTGGAGGTGCGCGTTGTGCTGCGGGACTCTGTTGCAGCAATTTTGGCTGGTGTGGTTACACTGATGCCCATTGTACTCCCAGCAATTGCCAGAGCCAGTGTCCTTCTCCGAAACTACCTACACCTGGCCCCAGTCCTCCTGTTGGAGACATAGGTGCCGTCATCTCACATTCCATGTTTGATCAGATGCTTAAGCATCGCAACGAAAATTCTTGTCAAGGAAAGAATAATTTCTATAGTTATAATGCCTTTATTAATGCTGCTAGGTCTTTTCGTGGCTTTGGCACTACTGGTTATACCACTACCCGAAAAAGGGAAATTGCTGCTTTCTTTGCCCAAACCTCCCATGAAACTACTGGTACATCGATTTGAAGTTGATGGATTCAACATTTAAGATTGAAGAATTATAATTTCATAATTATGAATCTAAAAATAATATTTGTTGAAATTTTAGTACTAATAATTGATTATGTACCAATTGATAGGAGGATGGCCGTCAGCACCAGATGGACCATATGCATGGGGTTACTGTTTCCTTAGAGAACTAGGTAACCCGGGTTACTACTGTACACCAAGTGGTCAATGGCCTTGTGCTCGTGGAAGGAAATATTTCGGACGAGGCCCCATCCAAATTTCATAGTAAGTTACCATAATTTAATTATTTGTTATGAATTTTGTTGGGTCTACTTACATGAATTTTGACATTAATTAACACAGCAACTACAACTATGGGCAATGTGGAAGAGCCATTGGAGTGGACCTTTTAAACAATCCTGATTTAGTAGCCACAGATCCAGTTATCTCATTCAAATCAGCTATCTGGTTCTGGATGACCCCTCAATCACCAAAGCCTTCTTGCCACAATGTCATCACCGGAAGATGGCAACCATCTGGTGCTGACAGAGCAGCCAATCGCCTCCCTGGATTCGGTGTCATCACAAACATCATCAATGGTGGCCTAGAATGTGGTCGTGGCAGTGACAGCAGGGTCCAGAATCGAATTGGGTTCTACAGGAGATATTGCAAAATTCTTGGAGTTAGCCCAGGCTACAATCTTGATTGTGGCAACCAAAGGTCTTTTGGAAATGGACTCTTAGTCGATTCTATGTAACAACTTTATCATCTGTTTGTTGTAGTCTCTTGCAACAACGCAGGACCCAGCTATGAATAAATTTACTTATGTAATTGTGTTGTAATCGTTTTTCATTTTAATAAACAAAGACTTTGTCCACGACAGTGGATAGTTGTACTTCTACAGTTGTCACTTGTGACAGGTAGTTGGTTCAATTCGAAACCAGATAAATATTGACTAGTCAATCCAGCCATCTCATTATTTAGAAAAGGATTTAAGTTATTATGGGTTCACCTACCCACTCGGCATTTAATTACAAATAATCAAGATTTGCTATCATTGATGAAGTTCATCACATACAAATCGGGCAATTTGGTTGAATACCAAAACAAACATGCCCAAGGCCCGACTAATCCAAATTCGTCTTGAAAGAAAAATGCATTATGACATGTTTTGTCTTTAACAAACCTCCTACAGCTTGTAATTGCACGTATTACTCGTTAATCTCAGTCATTTGATGAGACAACTTCTCTTCTAACTTTTATGAGATTTAAGTGAATGAAAACCTTCCTAGATGATACATACTTTTTAAAATTAGTTGAAAGAAAGAAGAACTTTGAACCTCAAAAATTAGGCATCCAAGGTACGGCCACCGTCTCTGATTTTGAGTCTTGAATTTTTGGTACCAAACTGTATCATCATACTAGGGATTAAAGCTATCAACTGCATAAGATATACATGGAAAATCACTGTTAAGGTGGTGCAAGTGCATCATCATATACTAAAGTACATCTTGTGAATCATAAGAAAACACGGAATTTGGGTATTATTTGAGTCATACTAGACATCCTAAGAAACTATTTCAGCAATGGGAAATATAGTTAATTAATATGCATTTTGGCATTGATAGAAATAAGGTAACTCTTTATTTGTCTACCTATAAAAAATCTTTAGTATAGTGCTTACCCAAGCAAGGCCGACGCAGAACAAGTTGAATCCAGGATAATTGAATGGAGCCTTCTCAGATAAAAATAGATCTGCATACAAGGAAATAAAATATATTTAATTTGACATTCAGATCCTACAAAGCCAGTGTGCTATTGCCGACACATCCAGGATTTTCACTAAGAGGGTTCGAAAAAAAAAAATGTAGTATTTGAGATTTGAATTTGGAACCTCAAAGTAAATTTTGAATCCCGTCAACCGCTAAGCCAACATCTAATCTTATGTTCAAGATGTTTAAAATCTATATATACCAGAATGTTTTTTTAAAATATACATATACCATGTAATTATTTTTGCTAAGCCACACAACTTTGACCATGAAAAATATTTGAAGGTTCAACTTACCTGTTAGAGGAGTATATATTAATGGAGAAAGAATATTGCCAAATGAGCTTATGCCTGCAATGCACCCTTGAGCAATTCCCTATCACATTAACAGAGAATTAATGTAATAGAAAATACTGATCCAACACATAGTACATCAAAATTAAGGTAGAAACCAGCAACATCTAAATTGTTCACCTGCTCATTTGGTCCAACTTGTTTTGAAACAATGCTTTGTAACTACATTTTATAAACACTATCAGCTCAAATAATCAACAGAACCAAAAAAAAAAGTGTTTAATCTTCCTAGAAGTATATAACAAAGAAAACTCACAGCAGGTCTTGTAAGGAAGGCAATGATAGGCAACAAATTAGCAACATAAGGAACCTGAGACGACGGACATGAAATGTATTTGGGAAATAAAAACATCAAATATCTTGAAATTTGAAATATACTATTGAAAAAACAGACAATGTGTTTAGCTGTTTGAAAGATTAAACTTACCCATACTGCCCATGCAATGCTAACAATTAGCATCTGTAGAATAATAAGAACTTTCTCAATAAGTTATTATAAGTGCATACATAAAATAGAAAAATAGAGAAGTTTGAAGAAGCAAATACACTTATAAATCCAGCGATGCAGGATAAGGAGAGAATTGCCTCCTCTCCTGTAATAGGAGCCAACCGAGGCATCAAGAATAACTGCACCAAAATTTAACAAGAGGTATCACTTGGAACAGTACTAAACGATAACAACATACCCAGTGCAGATAGAGAGGTTGTTTCCGATTGACCCAAATGTATTCGAAACCATGTTTGACAACCAGAGTAAAAACAGACTACATAATAATTATGAGCTGAGATCGAATCTGAGATATAACAGACTGAGAATGTGCCCACTTAATCCAGCTATACTCTGTAAAGAGAAGTTAGACTTGAAAACAAACCTGGCCAATTGCTGCTCCAGTGTAGCCAATAAGCATTAAAACAGCAAAGTTATCTTTGTTGTATTGAAGTCGAGCTTTTAAGAAGTACTACAAAATATATAGTGAAACAATAAAATTTAGAAGCTATGAGATAATCATGACTTATACTTGCAATTGACACTTGAAGGGAGCTATAGAATTGTGTACCAAATATGGAGTTTGTTGTCCACCTTCTCCTAGACCATTCAAGATAGCAACCACTGTTGCTAGCGAAAGCGTCACGCTGCACCAAAAAAAGAAAAAAAAAAGGACGATATGATTGGAACTTGTACTTTAGTATGTTCTAATTTAAAGACATAGTTTGAATTTCGAAAGTCAAACAGTTTAATTTTGATCGTGAACTTGATGTTTTGGAGCTTCAACCCAACACTATTTTAGTGTGTGAACAGTGTACACCAAACCAACACCATTTTAGTGTTTGAATAGATTTGGTGTGGTACTATTCATCAACAATAAATCATTTTTTTAACGGAAAAAGGTCAAAATTGCTCCTGAACTATGCGAAATAGATTACTTATACCCTTCATTACATTTTGGGATAAAAAATGCCCCCACCGTTATTCCAAGAGACCACAAGTACCCTCAAGAGTTAGCACCCCAAATTTTTAGTGACGAGGCAATCCAAGTAGGACTAATCCCGGTTGACCATATCATATGTGATTCCAAACCATATCACATTTGATATGGTTTGGAATCACATCTGATATGGTCAACAATCCTTCCACCTAAGTGTTGCCAACTAGGATTCACTACAAAAGAACTAGACCTTTAGCAGCGACACAAGTCGCCACAAAAGCCCAGAATATCGTCACTAAAGGTTTTAACTGATTTTTAAATTTTAACATTAAATTCTAATTTTGTGTTTTTTTCTTCATTGTTTTTAAAAAATCACAAATGATATCGATCAAGGAGGAGTTTGAAGACACTATATGTTTTATTTTTATGTCATATGTAAATGAATAAAATGTACAATGATTCATTATATAGTAGGCGATTTGAATCGAGAAGTAATTTTGATGATTTTCGTAATAATATTGGATGTTTTTAATATTGATAGTGCATGTTATTTATTTTAGAAAATTAGGTTGCTACTGAAAATTAATTATCATATTTTTTTGTTGAAAAAATATGTTATACTAGGGAATGGTTGTTGCAGCCTTAGATGTCACTAAAAATCACTCATAACTTTTAGTGGCAGTATTTTGGGATTTTGTGGTGACTTGTATCGCCGCTAAAGGTTTAGTTCTTTTGTAGTGAATCAAGTTGGCAATGCTTAAGTGAAGGGATTAGTCCCATGTGGCTTGCCACGTCACTAAAAATTTGGGTAGTTAACTCTTGAGGGTATTTTATGGTCTCTTAGGTAACGGCGAGGGTATTTTTTATCCCAAAATATAATAGAGGGTATAAGTGGTCTATTTCGCATAGTTCAGGGGTATTTTAATATGTTATTATTATTTTCGCTATATAAATTTTTAATATGTTATTATTATTTTCACTATATAAATTTTTAATTTAACATTTTATAAACTTTCTAAAGCCAATCGATTATCGGATTTCACCAAGCCAACTACCACTACCTGGGGATTTCTAGATCTGCTCTAAGTATATCATTAAGATTCCAAACTCCATGAAAGCAGGAGATTGGTTAGCTATAGTCAAATCTCATGACGGTGATCAAAGAGCATTGGCTACGATACTACAACCTCTGCTCCTGACCCCCAGATCGAAGCGTTACGATTAACTCTGGTGCTGCTTGTTGGTGGAGGTTGGGAGTATCTCAACTATGAATAAGAAGTCGAAGAAGCCCTAGATCCGCCTCTTACTTACCTACCTTCCCAGACTAGCTAGTCAGGGCGAAGCATTCTTAGCATTAGTAGTTTTGGCACGATAGACTCATGAGATGTGACCTCATGATGGTTTAATTGCATGTTTTAATTAAATTCTTGATATACTTAATTATTTTTTGTGTAATATTTTTATAATACATTTTAAATATAAAATTCTAGTTAAATAAGTGTATAAAATACAATTATAACCTACACAAATTTTTTTAAAAATACAAATATAAGGACAAATATGCTCATTTTTTTTAACTTCGTAATGTATTAATAGAGTATTTTTGGAAGCAACATACTAATCTTGAACGTTGAATATTTATATAGAAATTAAAACAAACGTTACAATTATGTAATGTTTATTTAATTGTATTTCTTTGATTTCACTTTTATTTGTATTATTCATTATTATGTATAATATTTGCTAGCAATTTATATTATTCAAAAAGTTGCGGTTTAAAATAATTTTATGATTACATTGGAAAAGAATATGAATTATAAGGTGAATATGTGGAAAAAAAAAAGAATTTGTTCTATGAAATAAGATAATATAAATGAAAATAATAATAATAATATAATATTAAAAAAAGAATAATGTAAAGAGAATATTCTTTTAATATAAAATTTGGTGTAGTGAATTGGAGTTGGTTTACACTTTACATTAAAATAATATTAACTATATTTTAGCTAAAATTTGATGTTATGGATGGGATACTTTTTCATATAATTTCAACGGACATACTGGTCCCATAAGAAAATGGAAAATAGTAATCAATCGTTAGCAATAATTATTGTCAATCAACAATCTTTTATGAGAAATTGAAATCTTACCTACTCTTCAGCAAGCAGAAAATATCCTTGAGTGGTAACACTTCCTTAAAGCTCTGTGACACACTTTTTGATTGAGAACATTCTTCACCATTATCGATCAATATAGGTTGATTTAGTGGTTCACTGTCAATACTGCCGCTCGTCTCCTTTACAAATATTCTCATGTAAATTGTTGCAACCATTGAAGAAATGGCAGCTATCTTCATTACACAATGAAAACAACGAACACAGCTAAGCAAAATGAATTGTAACAAGTAAAAATGAAAATGATTGCGAGGAAGTAAAAAATTAGAGAGAAAAAGGGAACCAGAAAGATCTGTGCAGTGGAGAGGAAACGAGCAGCCATGGTACCCAAAAGAGATGCAGCAGAGCCTATGCCGGCAACAAATCCAATTGCAGAAACACGTTTTTCTTCTGATATATTAGCTGCCTAGAAAAGTATGCATTAGAAAAACCAAAAAGGAAATTGTATTATGAATTTGAATTAGGCTCAATAGTTACCGCATAAGCAATGGAGAGGCACTCAATTCCACTGTCACTGACCATACCAGTGAAGGTTTTTACAGCATAATACACGTAGAAATAGTTTGTTGATCTGCCGATTGCCAATATTACTGCAAAACTTTTTGTTACTTGCGGTCCGATTTGGGCGTTTTTCGATTTAGTGACTGGAAAACAATTTTTACCTGACGGAATAATGGAGGCAGCTATCGGAACTGTAAGCAAAGCTTTTCTTCCGTATATATCAGATAGATGTCCAAGCAATGGCAACATCATCATTGATCCCAGCCCTAAGATCTGAAATTAGCAGACGCAAACTGGAAATCAGATAATGCATATCTACTGTTTGTCAAAATGATTCACAAGTTAGATCTGGATTACACACAGCTTGCTGGAAACCAGAGAGATAAATGGCAAGTGAGCATTCGTCTTGAGAAGGGCAGAGTGCGCCAACTGTGATATCAGTTATGGCAGGAGGAATCACATTCAACGCAAAATTTGCAAGAAATACAGTAACAAATAGGTGCTTCAAGTCGCTCAATTTATCCATCTTCATTGTTCCTGCTTTCCTTTGAAAAACCAAATACAATGGTTTCAAAATCAATCAGTATTTTGAATTTACGCTGGGCAATGATTTCCAAAGAAAGCAGACAATAATTCTTGTTTCAAAATCAGTTGTATTTCAAAAATCAGACCGGCCGCAGCCCCACAGGGACGAAGGGTGAGTGTGCTTACTTGTTCGGCTAAACTAAATAGTTTTTGAGCAAAACTCTCTATTTGTATTAAGAATCTATAAAACTTAAGGGATTGTTGTTATAGAATTTAGTAATTTAAAAAATTAAAATATAAAATCCATAAACTTTAAATTTTGATTCCACTAGCACTCACGTGATAAAAATGGTAAGTAAACGTCTAATTATTTTATATTATTTCTGAATTTTTATTAAACATGATTTTGAAAGTAGAAAATTATGTCCTGACGCATGAATAGAATAATTCTTCATTTTATAAATGATAAGTGTAGGACTTGGTCTTTTTTTTATATAGTACTTTAACGATGAAAGAACGCCCCATAAGCTAAGGCAAACTCTCGATTTGAATATTTTGGATACACAAATTATTTCCAAGCTTAAAAAACAAATAATAAAATATGTTTCTAACTGAATTAGATCCGTAGTCTCACAAGTGATTCTTCTTGCTTGTACCAACGACACAAGTATATTCCTATGCTCCTTATAGGTGCATTGTTAATTATATTTTTATTTCTTTCTCAAAATAGATATACATATATACATATGTTTTTTTTTTTCAAAATTAACGTGTCCACCTGCAACTCCATATGGTCCAGTCCGCCTCTGCCTATAAAAGGTTTCTTCGTTTTCGGACTCAAATCTAAAATTTCTAATTAAATCATTCCATCTTTTTTTTTTAATAATTATTTTCTTGCTACAAATATTCTCATACTTGTATATTAGTAGACAATTTTTATTGCTTTTTTCTACTGTATTTCTGGTGCTAGTGTATCATGCATTCGTAGGGGAGCCCACGTTGTCCCAAGGAAAATTTTGGCCCACCCATCCACGTGGCTCAAGATATTGTTATATAATAGAAAGAAAAAAATATATAATATAAATTAAAATTGAGTAAAAAAGATACAAGTAGACAATTTGAGGATTAAAATCTCTTTTATAATGTAGTTTATCCTTTCTAAAACATAGCAATAACATCTTTACAAAGTATAATAATTAAGGTAAAACTACAAAAATTTAAGAAGAATGTGTGCAATTAATAGTCTTGATATTGTTTTCTTAATTAAGGAATGAACCCCGCTTGTAATGAGGTTAAACTAAAAAGACTCTCTTTTGGAGAAATTGTTTTGTTTTATTGTTCTTTTCTTTAAACGGAACGATATTGCTCTGATGTCACATTGCCACTATAGTCGCACTAAGGGTGTATTTGGTTAGACGAATTAATTATAGAGTATTTTGAAAAATCAAAATTATCAAATTGAAGTTCAATATCGTATCATACCATACCATGATTACCCTAGTTTATCTAACCATTGAAAATTATTAAAATTAGTATCAGAAGGTTGTATATCAAATTTGAAGTTTATTTAGACAAAGTTTGAAGCAAAGCAAGTGTTGGAGATATTTCTATAAACATGTTAAAGTGACTCGTCAGGATTTTTTGGTCAATTCTAAATTAGAACTCACAGTCATAATTTAGGTGATCCGTCAAGAGACCACAAATTCTGGTGATCCATCTAGAGACCACAAATTTTGTTGTCAATGATAAATACAAGGGCGGAGCTATATCATGTTCAGTACTTCAACTGAACTCAGTAGCATTTGTTTAATTATTATATTTATGTTACGGAATTTATTAAATATGTATAAATATTAAGTTTATAAACCAAGTTAATTAACACTTGAAGTAGCTATTTTAAAATTCAAAACTTATAAAATTGAAATTATGGCTCTGCCTCTATTAAAATACGTACACTTCTTCTTCTTCCCATTTCTTTGCAATAATACTTGGGCAAAATTACTAATTTATTCCAATTAAATAAGAGTTTACCATTTGAAAATTTACATTAATGCTCCATGTTTCTGTTACAAATCCAGACTTATGTCCAACATTAGTCGATGCACATAATTTATCAACCAAGACATCAAACCACTAAAAGGAAAACACTAAGGCAGTTGCAATATATTACTTATGGATCCATTAAGGATACTATGAACAAACACCCCAAGTGGTCAGCAGGTTAGGTTGTAGCAGTGAACATATCACTACTATTATTCTTGAAAAAAATCCAAGGAAATTGGGATGGATGGTTTAACGATTTGAATTTATAGCCTAAAAGTTATGCACAAACGCGGAAGGTGTCAAGATAAAATTATCAAGCCAAGGGCTACGCAATTGCATCCAGACAGGGTCCTGACTAAAGTCCATGCTGAATTTGGGTACTTGTAGTTCAGCCAGGTTATCTTGTCCATTCAGTAATTTTGGCTTAAAGCAATTACTCTTGTCTTTGGTTTCTGCTGAAATTTCGAACGGATTGTTCTCAGTAATTGATAAGATATCGTCTTCTACTTCATCCTTGTTGACTGACATAAAGAAATTGGGGCTCTGATCAGTTGGTTCATGATGTTCGTTACAAAATGGCATGGTGTCCATTGGCTGCAGGGTTGTCGAACAAGGAGAGCTGTGAACGTGCTTTGTACCGTTCATTTCTTCTTCAATTGCAGCCCTCTGTTCTAACACTTTCAATGATGTCGCTTTTCTGTATATTTTGCACAACACTATGTCCTGCATTTTACAATTTTGAATTCAGTATCTTTGATAGGGTAACTTGGACAATTTATGAGTACTGGAATAGTTGTTAACTCTATATTCCATCTTATGCTATCGATGATAGAATCAGGATTTTCACTAAGAGATTCAAAATATAAAGAAGTAAACATACGAAGAAGCCAAGGAGGCTCATATCAACTATAGTACATTAAAAAAAATAGTGCTACTAATTTTTTGACGAGGGGTTCATATGAACTCCTTCCGGTACCCTAGCTCCACCCTTGTATACGATGTTCCTTTCTTTAGTCGGATCAAAACAGAATAACATCTTTTTATATATCTAAAAACTCTTTACTTCAAACTTTTCACTTTATTATCAATAACATGTTTTTATAAACCATACTAATGTTATGTAATGTTCAAAATTACAAGTTTCAAGAGAAAAATTAACCAAAGGTGGATATAAAATTTGATTTTTTTGGGTTCGAACTCAAAAATTCTACCATATCCCATCCAATTAACTAAGTTCAAAATCTACCGTTTGTACTTATTTAGTGATTTTTAAACACATATTATCTAACTCTAATCCCAAAGCTACTGAGTTCAAATTGATACATGTCAAAGATTATCTTTTAACAAGAGTATCATATAAAATGAAATGAACGGAGTATACTGAAGTATGAAATACCTGAGGCGAAGAGACGGTATCCGGTAATCGAAATTCATTCATGACCCAATCTGTCTTGGAGCCTCGAGGTGCTCTTCCAGTATAGAAAACCAAAGTCTTCTTAAGACCAATTATATTTTTAGGATTTGATAAACCAATAATTTTTTTATCAGAACCAGTTGCCTTCCAAAATCCCTTTTGTGTAGTCCTATTAGGCCTCCCTCCACTTCCATGTTTTCTATCTCTTGGCACAAAAAAATACCATTCTCTTTCTCCAATTGTTGCCAGCCCTGCTCAATTCACATAAAACAGAGTTATATTACATTCACTACAACGAAAAATTAGACGTACCACTATATTATATATAAATGTTATCGAAATATACCTGGCAGGTCCCAAGGATCATGACGATAAATGTTGAGTAGACCAATTACATCGCATCGCGATTTTTTGCCAAGGACCTTATTTTTTAGGTAAAATTCAAGAAGTTCTTCTTCCGTTGGGTGAAATCGGAAGCCTGGTAGATCTTCCATTATTCGAATGTATCGATCACCTTTCGTTATAAAATATTTTGTTTATGTCAAAGTTTGGTGATGAGTATAGTAAAGTATATTGATAACATATAACAACACGAAGGGATATATATTTATAACATAAAGAATGGTACTAAATTTTGTTATTAAAAAGACTTATGAGTAAAAGTTTACAAGTCTTCGAGTCTTTTCCCTAGACTTAGAATGACGCGTTTATGGGTAGTGCTGTCATGCCTGTGGGGCATATTCACAACACTGACATATTTTGGTTTAATTATCCTAAGGATACCAACGTGGCTTTTGGTGCACATGTGGGAGTGTTTCACCCTTAATAAGAAATTTTGGGTTCGAACCTTGGATATGGAGAAAACCTGTTGTTGTGTTTCTACCACGGGTCGTCAGGTGTACAAATTATCTCATATTTACACAAGGTACGAAAAAGAATTATACTCTGTGAGTATGAATATTGTATTATATAGACTGTTTATCCTAATACAAATATCAATGATTGTTTCTACGATTTGAATCTATGACGTATAAATTACACAAAAATAATTTTATTGTTACTCCGTGGCGCTGTAACTAATTTATATATGAAAATAAGAATCTTTGATCCTTCATTAGCAGCCGTCAAGGTCAAGATTTTCAATCAGCTGTGACCCTATACTTCTTTAGGTTGAATCGGTCATACTACTAACTTGAGGACAAATTAAATCTAAAAATTACATCAAATTGAAAAATCAAATCTATTAAAGCATCGCTTTGAATTAATTTTGTACTAAGAAAAAATCGAACCAAATCCACAAATAAAATATATAATTTTTTAAGACTTTACATAAGATTTGCGTTAAAAATATATGTGGCGAATTATTTGTGATTCTCTCATTGGATGTTGAATAGAAGTATATATGGTTATCTTCTGTATTCAGATTAACAAACAAGAAATAATAAAAGATGAAAAGAAAAAAAAACAAAAGAACTATCCGAGTCCACAGAACCCACTATGTGTCCTTAAGAAATTTAATCCCCTCAAGTACCTCCGAGGTTGTAGATTAATTCCTCCCAAGATAAAACGGATTAACCATTAAAGAAATAGTGGTACCTCAAACTTCAATAATTTCAACGAACTCAAAATGACAGTAAGAAATGTATGCAAGAGACGATGCAGAAAAATGAGAGGAAGCCTCTCTATTTATAGCCAACAAAGGGTAAAGGTCACAACCCTTTTGGAAAGAAAACAACCTTTCAGAAAGAAGACAATCTTTCAGAAAGGTCACAATACTTTGGAAAAGGCACAACCTTTCAAACGGTCACAACCCTTTAGAAAAGACACAACTTTTCATAAAGGTCACAACCCTTTGGCATAGTCACAACTCTTCAGAAGAGTCACAACCCTTCATTTCCTGTTCACTCCTTTAAAACCCAACAATCCCCCACATGAATAGGGAATGACTATTGTTAAAACATATGCATGAAAAATCGTGTGATTCGTAATTAAGGATTGATTACCTCTGGATAAGTGGGTTTCCCTTTGAACTTTCCATAGTGAACATATATCGGATATACTCGATCAATCGGTAGATTTGATATCTTTGAATCGTCGAGCTTTGGTGTATACCTAGACAACATAAGTCACACAATCAACCCTTGAACTGTTTTTGGTTCTCATTGTTTTGTTTGTTTCAGCCATGAACACGTCTTGGTTTATAAGTGCGTAAAGAACTGGCCTTACCGGATTCTCCTTGAAGCGGCTTACACTTCACACTTACATAAGTGATTTCTAAATGTGTTATCCCGTAGATACACCATTTGATATACCCTGTATCAAACTTAGAAATCATTAAAAAGTCCTAATGCCTTTATCCTTGTTACTGAACATTGTCTTATCATGAGAATGGACCATAAAAATATTTTGACAATATTGAACCGTCATCAATGACTTTGTTTGATCTCCTTGAACCTAGATCTTGGAATCTCCAGTCTTCTAGGTAGAGTTGCCGCCACAATGACTTGTTCTCGGCCATAGTCCCATTCCCTTTGATAATCTATCAACTCCCTCTCTAGTTAGGCCTTTTATAAGTGGATCCAACACATTATCCTTTGACTTTACATAGTCAATTATGATAATTTCACTAGAGAGTAGTTCTCTAACGATATTATGTCTAGGTCATTTATGACGGGACTTTCCGTTATACATCATGCTCCATGCCCTACCTATTGCAAATTAACTCTCACAGTGTACGCATACTGGAGCTAAAAGGTTTGGGCCAAAAATCTTTCAAGAAATTTTGGAGTCATTCAACTTCTTTACGGGCCTTATCTAGAGTGATAAACTTAGATTTCATAGTAGAGTGAGCGATACATCTCTGTTTGGAAGATTTTCAAGAGACTGCTCCTCCACCAAGAGTAAATACATATCCAGGTGATTCAATTTGCATCACTATATTCTTCCAATACTGTTGAATATTAGTTATAATGCAAAGCAATAGTTTTTAAGTATGTTTTAAATAATACTCCAAAGCTCTTTTCATTATCATCCAATGAGTTTGATTGAGATTACTTGTGAACCAACTTAGTTTATTAATAGCACATGCTATATCTGATCGCATACACTTCATGATATATATATCATACTTCTCAATACTCTAGCACAATTCAATTGTGAGTCACTTTTGCCTTCATTCTTTTGAAGTACAAATCTCACATTTATTGGAGTCTTGACAATATTGAAATCCAAATGCTTGAATTTGTCAAGTACATTTTCAATCACATCAGTAACTTCAATGTCTTTCATATCGAAGTTACTTTCTAGCATATGCTTAGTAGCATTTATGTCAGAAATATCTCTTTTGATGATCAACATGTCATCAACATAAAAACAAACAATGACCTTGTGATTTGGAGTGTCTTTAATGTAAAAACATTTATCACATTCTTTAATCTTGAATTCATTTGCCAACATAGTTTGGTCAAACTTCACATGTCATTATTTGGGCGCTTGTTTTTAGTCCACAGAGTGACGTAACAAGTTTACAGACTTTCTTTTCTTTACCAGAACCACAAAGCCCTTGGGTTGTTCCATGTAAATTTCTTCTTCCAATTTTCCATTCAAAAAAAATGTTTTCATATCCATTTTGACGAATTTGAAGGCCATATTTCGCAACTGGCGCAATTAACATCTGAAATGATGTAATCCTAGTTAGTGTTATTATCTGTCAAACAAGGCTTTCTTATTGTCTAAAGCTTATGACAACAAGTCTGTCTTTGTATTTGTCAATAGTTTCATCAACTTTCTTTTCCTTTTGTAGATCCACTTTGAACCCAAAAATTTATTTCCTGGAGGAAGATCAACCAACTCTCAAGTATGGTTGCTCAAGATTGAATCTATCTTACTATTGACAGCCTTTTCTCAAAGAGAATGAGTCCACAAAGGACATAACTTTTAGAATATATGAGACTCATTTTCAAGAAGAAATGTTACAAAATTAAACTCGTAGGAAGTAATTTGTCCATTGACATTTACTACGCCTCTGAATCTCTTTATTAAGTACATTCTCCTTTGGTTCTTTCCAAGGTCATTTAGACCCTTCACTTGACTATCCGATAGTTCGGACTTATGAACCATAAATCGACATGCTTTACTATTTGTAGCATATCCAATAATATTTAATCCACAGTCTTAGGTCCTATTTTGACCCTTTTGGGAATAGTTCCCTCATTTCCATTTCTCATATGGAATAAACTGTATTGAAAATTGTTAGATCACTATCTTTCAAGAGTTATTGCTTGTATATACTTTAAGGGAGGACAAGCAATTCTCTATTGGATACAACAAAGCCTGAACAAACACAACTTTTTGTTGCTCCCTTTCTTAACAAACAAAAGTTTTTTTTAAATTTGTTACTCCCTTTACTAACAAACAAAACTTTTTGTTTCTCTCTTTCTGAACATACAAACTTTTTGTTGTTCTCTTTTGTTATAATGATAGCACCCCCACAAATTTTGTGGTAAACCTAAACTTATAAATAGGACATTCAACATTTCCTTCAAAGTTCGATTTTTTCCTGTCAACAATTTCATTAGATTGAGGTGAGAATGTGCAGTAATTGGATGGATGATTCCATTTTCCAAATATATTTCTACAAAAGAAGATTCATATTCTCCACAACTATCACTTCTAATCATGACAATTTTTTTTTTATCCAACTGATTTTCAACTTCAGTTTTATATTGCCTATATGTTTCTATTGCTTCATCGTTACCATTCAGCAAATAAACATAACAATATCTAGTGCAATTGTCAATAAAATTTATGAAACACTTTTTCCCACCACGAGATGGTGTTGACTTCATATCACAAATGTCAGTGTATATCAATTCTAAGTTATTAAAATTCCTTTCAATAACACATACTTGACATTTTGATTTATTGCACTAGAAGTTAAGCAAAACTTCTAAGTTGATCAGCTTTTGCAAGGTTTTGTAATCGACATGTCCCAAGCATTTATGTCACAAACAATTTGATTCAAGCAAGTAAGAACAAACAGAAATACTACGTTTGAAAAGACCTTCTGTGAGGTAACTTTTTCCCACAAATATTTTGTTATTTACTTTTTATAACTTTCTCAAATACAGACATTGTTTTAGAGTCAACACCTTGCCATATGTCCTTTTCAGAAGGACATTTCCATAACAATCAATTTGTTATAGAATTACCTATGACCATAGTCTCATCGGTCCAATAAGCGCAATATGACCCAAATGTTTGTTTTACAACACAAACATAACAGATCATTTTTCACCAATGTTCATGTCTATAGAATTTTTTTTTATTTTAATAGACATATCTTTTCATGAAAAATCACAATATTTAAATTGAAACTTTTTCATCAAAGAATACAATTATTTTCAATGAGTAATATAATTTTGTGGTTTCATACTAGCCATATCATATACTAGTAAAGAGAGACTCAACGACCAATATCAAATATACTCCAAGAATTTTGTGGGTCTAACATAATACAAGATTACCATTTAATTTCATATCTTGTACTTTCAAATTTAAATTAGATAGTAAG